GGTGTCCCCCACATCCCCACGTCCCACTGACAGTGTCCCCTGTCCCCAGCTGGCGCAGAAGTATGACCCACAGCGGGAGCGGGAGCTGCGTGCCTGGATCGAGGCGACCACCGGCCGCCGCATCGGGGACAGCTTCATGGACGGCCTCAAGGATGGTGTCATCCTCTGCGAGTATGACCCCTGACCTCTGACCAGAACCCTGTCCCTAACCCTGTCCCTGGCTCAGTGACTGGGCTGTCCTTTGGGAACATGGCCCACCCCTGACCCCAGCTCAAGTCTGGGGTCATCCTCCAGCAACCCAGCCCAATCTTGACCCCAGATCTTAAGCTTGACCCCATCCCTTGCCCCCACTGACCTCACCTGGGCTGACCCTGACCAGTGAGGGCTGATGGCTGCTCCAACCCTGACCTTGACCCCTGCCCTGACCCTGGCCCCGGCCCCCTCCCCCCCCAGGCTCATCAACAAACTGCAGCCCGGCTCTGTGCAGAAGGTGAACGAACCCATCCAGAACTGGCACAAGGTGAGGGGACCCCGAATGGGGGGGTCGGGGCTTGGGGGACTGCAGGGGGCCAGGGTCCCGGGGGCGGGACAGAGGGTCCGGGCTCCAAGCTGACCTGTGCACAGCTGGAGAACATCGGGAACTTCCTGCGGGCCATCACACGCTACGGGGTGAAGCCCCACGACATCTTCGAGGCCAACGACCTCTTTGAGAACACCAACCACACGCAGGTCCAGTCCACCCTCATCGCTCTCGCCAGCCAGGTGACCCTCTGGGGCGGGATGGGATGCGGGGTCCTTGGGGGGTGGCTGGGGGGGCCCTGGGGGCTCCTACTTCCCCTGGAAGGACACCAACCACACAGCAGTCCTCCCCCATTGCCCTCAGCCACTGGGTGATGGGGCCAAATGGGGCAAAGCTGAGGAATCGGGGGAGCCCTGTGGGGGCATTTGAGGTCCCAGGGGGCCCAAGGGGGGTGGGGCCTGGGGGAGTTTTGGGGCAGTCCCAGGGGAACTGGGGACAAATATGGGTCCGGGGGGTCCGGTGGGGCGAGGGCCTGTGTGCACCCTGAGCCCCAGGGTCTCACGCAGGCCAAGACGAAGGGGAACAACGTGGGTTTGGGGGTGAAGTACGCGGAGAAGCAGCAGCGGCGCTTCCACCCTGAGAAGCTGCGCGAGGGCAGGAACATCATCGGCCTCCAGGTGTGACGGGAACACCAGGGCAGGGCACAGGGACATGGGGGAGCACAGGGGGGACCAGGGTGCATGGGGGATGTCAGGACACATGGGGTGCCCAGAGGTTCCTGGGGGGTCTCTTAGGGCTGGTCGGTGCCCTTGGGGACACCACTCCTGTCTCTGTTCCTCCCCATGATCCCCTCTCCCCCATCACCAGATGGGCACCAACAAGTTCGCCAGCCAGCAAGGCATGACAGCATACGGGACACGGCGGCACCTCTACGACCCCAAGCTGGGGACGGACCAGCCCCTGGACCAGGCCACCATCAGCCTCCAGATGGGCACCAACAAGGGTGCCAGCCAGGTGGGGACAGGGCAGGGGGAATACAGACTGCCATCCCCAGAGGCATCAAGGATGCCAGCCAGGGGGGCGGGGGGGAACGCAGACACTGCCATCCCGCGGGCACTCCACTGTGTTGGGCCAGCCAGCCAGGTATGGGGACACAGGGACACTGATGTCCCCGGGGGACCCCAGTGTCCTGGGTCTGCCAGGTAAAAGGACTTGGGGACATGCCACTGGAGGGAGGAGGTCAGGGAGACACCATGGGCAGTGGGGGGGAAGATGGGGGGGTCCCCAGGGCCCCCAGCATCCTGAGATGTGGTCCCCTGATGAGGATGAAGGACCCTCTGGGGAGGACAAGGGGCCCTCTCTGCTCCCCTAGAGGACAGGTAGACCCCCCACAGGTCCATGGGGAAGCTGAGGTACTCTTGGGGCAGGCCAAGGGACCACCCACCCCCAGTCCTGATGGGGAGGCCAGGGACCCCTGGGGAGGCCAAGGCCGCTGCCCCCAGCGCTGCCCTTGCCCAGGCGGGGATGACGGCACCAGGGACAAAGCGGCAGATCTTTGAGCCGGCACTGGGCATGGAGCACTGCGACACGCTGACCATCGGGCTGCAGATGGGCAGCAACAAGGGCGCCTCACAGCAGGGCATGACAGTGTACGGGCTGCCGCGGCAGGTCTACGACCCCAAGTACTGCGGCGGCCCCGAGCTGCTGGGCGAGGATGGCCTCGATGGCCTCTACAACTCCCAGTAGCCGCTGGCCCGCGGCTGCTTGCACCGCACTGCCCTGCTCTGCACAGGGCTGCACCGCACCGGCCTCACCGCGCCCCCGGCCCTGCGGGGCCGGCTTGGCCAGGGGGCTCGGCCCGGGG